GCAAATAACTTTTCAGGAAGTAATTTTTTAACATTAGTATGTTCTACACAAATGTTGTTTTTTTTTTTAATATCCCAATCTTCAATATTTCTTAAGATATTCAAGGTTTTGATCCAAAATTAGCACTATTTCCAAGGTCAATAAGCTCGAAGTTGGGCAAAATTGGGCAAACCAGGTTGATTACATTTGAAAGTATAACTGCTGCCCAATGCATACCAAATCATTAGTCTTCTTTAGTATTCTCTGCTGGTTGCCCGCCGGTGAGATGAATGTTGGCTCGTCCGAGAACCAAACGGAGTACAGCCCATGCTGCGAGTGGTCGAACAGAAGACGACCGTTCTGATTCGGCTGGTAGTTCCCCCAGGCCTCATGGCGAGTATTCAGATCTCCTCCAACAACGAAGCGGGAACCGGTATGGGTGATGGTAGACAGGTCCTTCTTGAATATAGCCGCTAGTCCACTGCTGGCGGCACACTGTCAAGGGCAGTAGACGACGATGAACTGGACGTATCCAGTCAACGACTCCACCTCCAAACCAAAGGCCTCGATGATAGAGGTGCGGATATGGGACAGACTGCGGTATTTTATCCCTTTCATGATGGCGACCGCAACACCACCTCCCCTGAAGCTGGTGCGCTCAAGTCGGATAATGTTGTTGTCAGGCAACCAGAAGTTTTCGCCGGACTTGAGGTGGGTCTTGGTTAAAAGGCCCACGTCAATGCTGTGCTTGCGAAGGAAGTTGGCAAGCTCAATCTTTTTTGCTCTTACAGAGCAAGCATTCCAGGTGACGATAGTTAGCAGTTTAGACGCCATGCTGGATAATGAACTTACCGAGGACTTGGATCTGCTCGGGCTTATCCGGTCATGTTGACGAAGATTTCCATCAGTTAATGTGCTGAGACCAGATCGGGGTTGTTGTTTTGCACTGTTGGTTGTCTCCAGAATCCAGAGAGGGATGGAGAGCTTTTTCCAGCAAACAGTGGCGTCGCGTAACCTCACTGTGCATCAACTTTCAAAAACAGATTTAATGTCATATTCATACTCGAATCGGTTGAAAAATACGCTTGATCTTCTAGTTAACTCGATATCTATCCATTGCTAGCAATATTTTGATAATTGTTTAGGTTTTGAGAGTTGGTGCACAGGTAGATTGAGGTTAAGGCGACGCCACTGCCAGCAAAAGATGCATACGTTTCTTGAGGGGAGTGGGGGCGGGCGCTTTTTGCACCCGCGAATTCGCTTGCCATTGCTGAGGAGTACGAAGAGGCGGGAAATCCTCCGTCTTGAATGCCGGGGTTTTGCCCTTCTTGCGTCCTGGTTGATTGTTGGTTGCAGCCTGCTTTCGGATGCGTTTGAAGTCCTCGCGTTTGGAGCACTGTCTGTCGGAACCACACTTGGCGTATTTTAACACCACGGCTCCAACCGCAGGGCAGTCAGAAGTAACGTGTTCTTGAGCGCAGTTTCATAACTGCGATTTACCGACTGAGCTCAGAGGCGCCCAGGTACATATTAGGTCTACTTCCGTACTTGCTTTTCTGTAAGATTATGTACAGCAAAAATCAGAAGTTCTGGTACATGCTTCTCCACATTATTTTCTTGCAGCAACTTACAGAAAGCTGCAGCAATCTATAGCAAAAGCAAGTACGGATACAGATCTATTGTAGCATATTCAGCTGTTCCATTATACCGGAAAAACTATGTTAGACAACCCAGAAAAAAAGGAATTTTTAAGTCCATAAATTTGGCCACTAAAATACCCTGATTATTGTAATTTTTATCATATAATATTTTTCGAATACCACCAATGTATCTATTAACGCTCACTGCTGTGAAAAATAGCGATTTTTTCATCATATAATCGTTCCATGTGATCTGTGTTTTCTTGGTATGTATCGAATATCAGAAAAAGATTGGCTATTCATTACTAAATGAGAGCATATTCGTTTATTAGGGGATGTTCATAAACTACGTAAACTTTTTTTTTTTTTTTTTATTCATGACCCCCCCCCCCTGCGTATACAATTGTCAATACAAAAATTTTAAAATTTGTATGGGCCGTGGATAATTGTCAAAACCCTCCCCCCACCTAAACTATCTACGCAGTTTATGAACAGCCCCTTATCTCAATCATGCACTTCACTCTCGGATACTACCTACATAGTAAAAATCAAACGAAAAGTGTTTTGTTGTTGAAAAATAATAAATATTAATAAAAACAGAGCTTTCCCAATTTTGTCTACCCCCGATTTTGCCAGCTTTTTTTCCCGATTTTGTCGGCCTGCAGATTTCACTAACTTTTTGAGTTTTTCAACATGAATTCTCAAACTCTACGTTATGAATAATTGTTATTCTCACACTTCGCTGAAATGTGAATTTTAGGGAAAGCGGGGGTAAAATGTGCATATGGGGTAAAATTAACAATTGACGATTTTAAGTGCTTTTTCATTAAAATATTAATCAATTCAGGTCTTTCATCCAATGTACGTTTTACATTTTAATTAATTTACAGTATATAATATACTCCTACTCTACTAGACATTATAAGATTTGAAATGCTATTTGCTGGAAACATCATTTTTACCACGGAAAACCTGTTCCTTTTTTTTTTGCAATTGTAATAAAAACATTGCTTCATTGTCGGCAACATTTATTCTTAGAAAAAAAAAAAAAGAGCATTACAATTTCATTGAATTGTACATAACAGTTTTGATTGACTTTCAATTTTCAAGAGATTTCGTCATCGCAAATTCTCGAACTCAACGGAGATAAATAACAGCGTCAATTGAAAGGGACAATGCTACAACCTAATCAGCCCTACCACCTTTTGTTTTGGATTGTCGGAGAGGCAGTTTGGATTCCGGAAAGGGAGATCAACGGTGGATGCAATTCGAACAATGATCGAGAGAACCGAAAAGGCGGCCAAACAGAAGCGAAGAGGAGATCGATATTGCGCCGTGATAACGATCGACGTCAAGAATGCGTTCAACAGTGCAGCTGGAAAGCCATTGCCAAAGCGCTGCATAGAATGAAGGTCCTTGACTACCTGTACAGGATTCTGAGCTACTTCCAAAACCTGGTTCTGGTCTACGAGACAGACATAGGACAGAGATCGATTAGGATCACAGCGGGAGGTCCACAAGGCTCCATCCTTGGTCCAACGCACGCCTTTGTCTCGGGAGTTATGATCGATGACCGGTTGAACTTCACCAGCCACGTCGAATATGTCTGTGAGAATGCTTCGAAGGCCATCTAGCTAGAATGGAGGTCCAGCCTGGTTTGCAGCACTGGAAACGAAGCAGACCCAAAGGAAAGTGAGCAGTACGTTTCGACTAATGGCCATGCGAGTCGTGAATGCATACATAACCATCTCATCGGAAGCAGTATACCTATCAGCGTCACCCGGCGGAGAACAGCGAGTGCTACGGTCGGAGAGAAGCCGTACTCTACCGTGGTGAAAGCGGAGTCTTTGGCAAAGAGGCAATAGGAGTGGAACACGGTGGATAACGGTAGATGGACACATCGGTTATTACCGATTCTTTCGACCTAGGTGAACCTAAAACACGGAGAAGTCAACCATCATCTGACGCAGTTCCTGTCTGGCCACGGCTGCCTCAGGAAATACCTGCATCGGTTCGGACACGCAGCGTCACCCCTCTGTCCGCAGTGTGGCAACGTGGATGAAACGCCGGAGCATTTGGTCTTTGATTGTCCAAGGTTCGAGACAGTTTTGTCAAGGGAGATGCCCGTCCTTAACGTGGAGAATTTCGTCGATGAAATATGTCCAGAGGAAGACACTTGAAATGGAGAGATGAGTAGTGATCTAGCAACGCCAGCTAGCACTGAGAGTATGAGAAGTGCATGAGCACAACCCACTCGAAGTAATCGCTTCACCGTGGTCCCGGGGGGATCCAGGCAGAGGATGGAATGGGTTTTAGTGGAGCTGCACTAGGCAACTAGTGGATACCAACTCGTGTCAACTTCGATACAGGTCTGGCTTTTAACTCCCCCCCCCCCTCATGTTCTCTGCTTTGAAAGTTAATACATATTTCACTATCGTCAATGGAAAATTGATTCAATAATTCTAGTTATTTGATGGTTAAGAAGAGTTTTACAAATAATAGCCATATGTAGGACAAGGAGGGGTAAAACGCACCCCGGTGTTTTATTACCAACAGCGTTTTTTCTCGTAATATTAAAAGATAAATTGATACAAACAATTTTCCAGATGGCTGCAGCTCTTCTAGTGATTACGGGTGAAACTCCATTAAATTTGTTTTGAAAAACACGTTAATAAGCACTGCTGGTCATATTATCCCATAGCACCCCTTACCCTATAAGAATTTCATTATTATTCAATAATTTTGATCAAAAAAATCATGGGACATTTTTCCCGTTTTTGTCAGCCCTAACATTTGAGAAGGGGCTGACAAAATCGGGAAAGCACTGTATAGCACATTGGAATTTGGATCATTTCATTTCCTGTTCGTGGCTGGTTTTGAGGATGTTACCGATCATCCTATTCGACTTCCTTCAAGATAATTTCAATAACCAGAACACATTTAAACAAATGTACTAGTACCTATTCATTCATTTTTGCTTTTCATATCCGGTTCTTGTTTTCTAGTCCATTCCTGAAAATAAAGTCAAAGTAAAAACGGCGTTTTGTAAACCGTAGTAAAAATCATTCGAAAATTAAGAAAGTTGTTCAATTTCTCGCGTAATGCTTGCGAGCATGGTTTTGAAGGATTTTTCACATTATTAAGGCCAGTTTTGCTTTTCTATGGTGGGTCGCGAGTGGAATGGAATTTCTCACTGTGGGCGCAATCAACAAAGCTTGAAAATCACTAAACTAATAAGATAACATATTTTTGTTTTGGTTTTGAGTATAGGGGGGCGGGGGCTAACTGCTTATACAATCTAAGTTCACACATTGTTTTCTATTTCGGCAATAACCTCCAACTAAATGCCTCTTTCGCTTTCATTTTTGTCTTTTTTTTCAGATGAGACCCGGTGCATTTCTAGTGAACACAGCCCGCGGCGGACTGGTCGACGACGAAGCGCTAGCCCACGCGCTGAAACAAGGCCGAATCCGGGCGGCCGCGTTAGATGTTCATGAGAATGAGCCATACAATGTATTTCAGGTTTATTTACTATTTAGATTCTAAATTTTCCTCTATGTCTGTTGTGGTTTATGTTTGTGGTTTTCCGTTCTCTTTCTTCCCGCCCAATACTTCTACTGTTGTGCACCTGCAACTATAATGTTGTCCACCTGGTGTATACATGTATAGCCTCAAAAAAAAACGAATAGATAGATAGAGTATTTGCTCCGCACAATGTGATCACATTTCAATTATGATTCCAAAAAAGGATGTCTAAAAAGAGAGAGCATGGAAGGAAGAGGCGAGCGCACCTGCCTGTGGCGAGCATGATTGTGCAGATGCAACAAAGAAAGCATAAGAACTGAAGTCTCGGTCGTAAAGTACCGGATATAAAGAGAGTAGTTTTGGCGTTTAATTAAATTTATCGTACCTTCCTAAAGAAACGAGACACATTTCCATGTTGCACATTGTCGCCATCAGCAAAATTTCGTATCATCTTCATCATTGCGTTCATCTAGTCATGTTTTGGGTTACAGGACAGGGATCCCAGAGGCTCTGTTGGGCTCTGGGAGTGAACACCCGAACCTAACCATAGAACAGTGTAACACAACTAACACGTTTCCATTGTTGTTGAATGTCGGTTGTTGGCGTATTTAGTCAGTAGTTTTGAGTTCTCAGAGACGTTAAAAAAAAAGTGTACTCACTTATTATGCCAACGTCCGACTCAACGAATCACTTTCATGTTTCGGCCATTTCGAAGTAGTCAATCATAGAATAGAATGTAGCAAGTAACTAACATCTCTAACACTACACATCGTTGTTTCCTTGTCCTGTTTGATAGGAAAATGTGCCAACTGAAGTTTTCCCCCTCGTTTATTCTACTTTCATAACCAATAAAGGGTGCCCTGAAAGACGCCCCCAACCTACTGTGTACGCCCCATGCCGCCTTCTACAGCGAGGCAGCTACGACCGAACTGCGCGAGATGGCAGCCAGTGAAATCCGGCGGGCAATAATCGGCAATATTCCGGACTGTCTTCGGAACTGCGTGAACAAGGAATACTTCCTACGATCGTCGACGGGCGGCGGCGCCGGAGGATACTCTGAAGGTTAGTATGGCCGGTAGTGGCCGGCCGAGTCCTCAATGTTCCTATCAAAAACAATTTTTGCTTTTTGATGGATGAGTTGAACTACCAATAACATTAAAACAAAGATAAAAAACTTATAGCTGGTATAAATGGCGGCTATTATTCAGGTGGATTACAACAAGCACATAGTACAACACCGCTCGAGGCACCGCACAGTGCTGGATCGCACGGGCCGCCCAGTGGCCCCCCGCCACCGTCAGTCGCCGTACCACCTGTCTCCGCTGTCACAGCGCCACCACCACAAGGTATACAACATTCTATGGTCAGCAAATCGGTATGTTAACAGAAAACGAGTGAAGCAACACGAAACTTGAAACGAACTGTGTGGTTGTAAACGTGTGTTTTATTCCTATTTATCATTTTATCTACTTTCTCTCTCTCTCTCTCTCAGTCAATACTCACCCCCATTCATTAGTTTTCGGTTCTTTGCTGTTATGGAATTACTCTCACGACAGCGCGGGTTTTCTAATTTTTCACACTTTCCATTGCATGCTCAGTCCATATTCATAACAAATATCATTTCATAGTCAATCAGTCAGTACATTCACTGATTTTGTTTTGTGATACAGTGTTATCACCTACGAAGTATTATAATTATGCTTGTTATCGGTATGTTTATCCTTTTTTGCACAGACAAACAGACATAACACAATTTGATGTATACACAGTACCGCCATCTGTTGAGCGTACTGCCCGTCACAGTGTACTCAACAGAGATGGCGGTAGTGTTTTAGCGACGATGTTTTACAGTAAGACATATTGAACATGTTATGTCTGTTTTTCTGTGCTTGTTAGTTAATACTGCCCCAGATACCGTTGTTCTTTTATTAATGGTACTTCTACGAACTTTTCGTATTAACACGGTAGCAATACAAACCACGTTTTGTTTTATTTTATATTCCTAAATTGTTTCATCCTTTCACTAATCGACCCATCAACCAACCAATACAAAACACACATGAACATTTGAAATCTGTTATCGGCGTTGCCGTTGCGAAGGTAAATTGAACCCATATTGTGAATCGAGCGAAATAAAATAAAAAAAAAAACTATAAACACACGATGGCAGATTTTGAGTTGAAACACGCACAGTTGTTGTTATCAAAGCGTTGTTGCTGCTGATGATGACAATCTGCGGGCGGCTTGTGTACTTGGGATGGTGAGATAATTTCCGAGGTATTTTCTAGGTTGTCGTTTGAATTTTATCTAAATTTTCCACAGGATCTTATGGAGATTGCAATGTCTATGGCATAGCCCGAAATTGAACTGCTTTGTGACTTGATAATTGTTTTGCAACGTTAGCCGAATTTCATATTAAGTGTTGTTTTCAACGTCAACCTTTTGAAGTGCGTGTTTCAATTAACAATTAGATGCAGTGTTTATATGATGTCCAGTTAGATTTTTTTAACTCTTTATTTGTTCCAAATTCAAAATAAATTTCATTTTAACCTAGGTGCTCCAGTTACTGTAGTAACTTCCCGAGCAAAGCTTGAGATCAAATTGAAATCAAATTTTGCTGTTATGATGTAACTTATTTTGAATACTCCAGTTGATCTCATTTTGGTTGACTTAACGGTTAACACAGCAAAAATGAGAGCAGAATTTTACACTGTTGAATCAAACGAAAAACTAATCCTGCTTTCAATAAAATCAAATCGATTTCTGATTTTGCATTCATAATGTTTAACTGAATACGGGCCTGGTGTAAATGGTTAGCATCCATGCTTCTCATGCTGAAAGACTTGAGCTTAAATCTCACCCGGGCAAGTTTCAAATGACCTAAAATGTGTTAAACAAAACAAATAAACAATAATCGTTAGTTCAACGACAGATGAACTTAAATTAACTTTTAAACAAGACGTTAACAGCAGAACTTCAAGTTAAGTTGCTTTCATTTTAAAAGGCTTGACTGCATAATGAAAGCACAATATGATATCAGACTTATGTCTCGACAATTGAAATCAAAATATATTTTCATTATGATAGGAACTGCAAACTTTATTATCGATTTGCTTTCATTTTGTTAACCGACTTTGCTCGGGTTACCAGCCTTAATTGTTATGATATATATTTAAGTGTTTTTACATTGTTCCTGCCTTGGCAATTACTATTTTAAAGAAGGTTTTTAAACCTGCATGTCAGTATAACAATTGAAACCTTAAAACTAAAACTAAATCTTATCTAAGTATAAAGGGAATTAATCGTTGCAATTGGGGATTTTTGCCTGAAATTATTAATAATTTTGTTGGACATTTGTTCTAAAAGTCTCAACATTCGAAATTCTATGTACCTCGGTAGTACTGTACCAGGGAGGCAACTTCAAAATCATCTTCAGAACTTTGTTCTGAATCCTTTGAAGTACTTTTTTCCTGGTAGTGCAATAATTAGACCATATTGGCACAGCGTAAAGCATGGCCGGTCCAAAAACTTGTTTAAATATTAAGTTTATTCGTCAGGTAAAGTTTGGATTTCCTGTTTATAAGAGGATACAAACATTTTATATACACTGGAGTCGCTTTTTACGCGGTTTTTTTTTACACGGTTTTTTTTTACGCGGTTTTTTTTTACGCGGATTTCGGAATTTACGCGGTTTTTTTTTACGCGGATTCCGGAATTTACGCGGTTTTTTTTTACGCGGATTTTGGTTTTTTTTACGCGGATTTCAGGATTTACGCGGTATATCGCTTTTTACGCGTTTTTTTCTTACACGGTCTTTTTTTACTCGGTTTTTTTTTACGCGGATTTCGGAATTTACGCGGTTTTTTTTTACGCGGATTCCGGAATTTACGCGGTTTTTTTTTACGCGGTTTTTTTTTACGCGGGACGTATCACCCGCGTAAAAAGCGACTCCAGTGTATTTGTTACATTTGGCTTCAATGCCCTCAATGTGATCTTTAAAAGTTAATTTTTTTTCAAGTACTAATCCAAGATATTTCACTTGGTTTGACCAGGAAATTGGAACTCCGTTCATAGTGACTATGTGTCTACTACTAGGTTTGCTGCAAATAACACGAAAACTTCTTCCTTTAGCGGAAATGCCTGTGTCATCAACGAACAAAGATTTGTGGCAACCCTGATGCAAATCAGGGAGGTCCGAAGTGAAAATGTTATACAATATAGGCCCAAGAGTGCTACCCTGAGGAACTCCTGCACTAACAGGTAGTCGACAAGATTTGGAATTTTGGTAATTTACCTGCAGAGTTCTGTCAGTTAAATAATTCTGAACTAATTTCATAATATAAAGTGGAAAATTAAGCTTTTTCAATTTAGCAATCAAACCTTAATGTCAAACACTGTCGAATGCTTTTTCTATGTCTAGAAGAGCAACTCCAGTTGAGCAGCCTTCAGATTTGTTTGAACGAATAAAATTGGTAACTCTTAAGAGTTGATGAGTAGTTGAATGCCCATGGCGAAATCCAAACTGCTCATCTGGAAAAATTGAGTTCATATTGATGTGATGCATCATTCTATTTAAAATTATCTATTCAAAAAGTTTACATATTGAAGAAAGCAAACTTATTGGACGGTAGCTAGAAGCTTCAGCTGGATTTTTATCCGGCTTCAAAATTGGAACAACTTTTGCATTTTTCCATTTATCAGGAAAGTATGCCAAATGGAAACATCTGTTAAATAATTTTACCAAGAAAGACGAGGTGTACTCTCTGGGAGTTTTTTGATGAGGATATAAAAAATTCCATCATCACCTGGAGCTTTCATATTTTAAAACTTTTTAGTTAAAGATCTTACTTCGTCCAAATCAGTTCCCCAGGAATCATCGCAAATATTTTCCAGAGAGAAAATATTCAGATAATCCCGAACAACCTGATTCTCAATAGTTACTAGTAAGACCCAAACTGAAATTATGGGAACTCTCGAATTGCTTAGCAAGTTTCTGAGCTTTTTCCAAATTTGTGATCAAAATTTTACCACCCTCTTTAAGTGCTGGAATAGGCTTTTGAGGTTTTTTCAAAATTTTTGTGAGTTTCCAAAAGGGTTTGAAACTCGGGTCTAATTTAGAAACATTATTTTCAAAAGTTTTGTTCCTCAGGACAGAGAATCGCTTTTTAATTTGTTTTTGCAAATTCCGCTAGATAACTTTCATGGTAGGATCGCGTGTTCTTTGATATTGTCTGCTACGGACATTTTTAAGACGGATCAAGAGCTGAAGATCATCGTCTATAATAATTGAATCGAATTTAACCTCGCATTTTGGTACTGAGGGAGCTCTTTTTTTCTTCTGTTCGGGACCTAACACCACTGCGACCATTAATTTGATCTATTGTAGTATATCCCGTGTTCTTTCCCAAGTAACATTTTATGTTTTATAAAATACTTCAAAGCTACTATAAAACAACATTCATAAAACCCTGGTCAAGACTGCTTTGCCATTGATGCATCCACCAAAACCTCATTGATGCTAGAATCTGTCTAGTTGGCCCACCCTGGAGAAGGTTCTGAAGGGTATATTTTCGAAGCTCTTCAAGATTGATTTACTACTGCAAAATGGTTGTACGATAAACGCATTGAGATCCATTTCAAAACCGTATTTGAGCTACAATAAAAGCTATTTGGCAACAATTAAAATCATTATCCGAGCCATTTACCCTAGCTGCTTCACTAGAAAAACAACAATCAAGATAAAAAAGCATTCATAAATACCATCCGATTTTATCAAAATAATTAAAATAAATACTGATCGTATAAAAATCCTGCCGAATTTCCAAAATTATAAAATAGTTCTCATAAAGTGGCCTAGTTTTAGATGCCATATAAAGTGTGATGTGAAATGTACGCGAAAACATCGAAAAACTTTAGTCCGCCCACGGAAAGCATCGATTTTTACTAATTATGTTACATTAAGAAAAAATCGATCATTAAGCTTAGCCAAGATTTTTGTTTCTCATGATTTTTGCATTCTAAATATTTTCTCATTGCTAAATTAACTAAAATAAAGTTGAATAAGATTGAAAATCGAAGATTGTAAAATAAAACAGAATAATTGTAATATTTCGGAGGCATAAAAGTTGATTTTATGGGCCATTTGTGAAAAAGTTATTTTGCTTTCAAGAAATCCTTAACAAATTCATAAGGTTTTGAAATGGCTTTTATGAAGAAAACTTGTAGACTGAATTGTATTTATCTAAAGCCATTTTACTTGATCCTAATCCGTTTTGATTTATGGCGGCAATGTTGCCTACAAAATGTTAAACGCCAAAGTTTGTTTATCTTTCGATAGTTGCGCTGTGCGATTCAGCGTTCTTCCGGGCGATTCTT